GACCCTGCACAGCCAGTTCCCTTGAAAAGCAGGTATCCTGCTCTGCTCAGGCTAGAGAAAGAAACAAATCAATACCCAGATTGATGTTCCCTGACAGCTGCTACCTCTCCTCTCTTGGAGGAGTTTGGTCAGGAGCCAAAGACGCAAAGGTCTCTGGGCCTCAGTGTGTCACCCATGACTAAACACGTTCTTTGGAAGGCCAGGGGACACCACACATGGATTGTTAACAGGTAGGCTCTCTGACTAGTGAATCACTTGGGGAAGCAGTCAGTGCTCTTCACCTCAGAAACACTGCCCGTGTTTCCATGCCAGGACGTGGTACTTGGCTGTGATGCCTGAGCTAGTAATGAGTAGAGGCATCCAGGCTAGTTTCTTAGCAGGATAACTTGGCTCTGATGCAGTGTTCTGCTAATGCAGCTCTTACCTCTTTGCTACCAATTCTAGCTTAGTAAGAATTAGCCTCAAAATCTGTACATCGTGCTGCCTGGAGCAGCATAGGTGTACATACCCCTTAGAGGGAAAAAACAGAGCAAGCCTAGAGCAGAAGAGAATAGCAGAAGCTCCCATTTCTGCTGCCACTTTGGAGTACAGAAATATTGCTTCCTAAAGGAGTTTTCACTTGGCTGCTTAACATCCATTTAACCAGGCCTTTTTCTAAGCACAAATTCAAGAATAGAGAAAGCTGATCAGAAATGAGAATACTGTTGTCAAAATCCCAGTTATGCACCTAGCCTGTGAGGCACAGAAACCTCTTTAAAACTTCATTTCCATTTGAAATTAAATCTGTGCTTCAGATGTTCCCAGACTTTACCTTAACAGAAACTTTCTGTGTATTTACTTATAAACAAAATTTTGGTTATTACTGAACTGTAGGTCAATATTATTAAAAGGAAAATAAACAGAACGTGGGTAGTAATTTTCCCAACTTCATATTTCCAAAACTACTTCAATCAGAAGATGACTTTACAGGACTATCAATTTCAGCAATGAAAGATGCTTCCACAAATCACTATTATTTTATCAGTTTGCAAGTTAGGCTTAGCTCAATGAGATATTTAGTGCTACCAGTGCTATTCTTCGCTCTGAAATTCCTCCAAAGAAAGTGGGATCATGGGTGTTCTTTTTCTTCTACATGGAAACAAATTACAGAAATGAAATAATTCATATATTTCTGTACAAATAAGATACAACTCTGAAAACCATATGAAAGAGAACATAATTTGCTCGGGCATTTCGGTAAGTGTGGTTTCAACTGAATAATTTACAATTGTTTCAGTGTGTGTATATGTAGTCCTGTTATGCATGTTCTACTTACTAATGAAGTAGCTACATAATTAATAATATGAAGCTTCTCCCTAGTTTTCAGTTGTTACCTCTTCGTTATTGCACAGAATGAAAACACAGGCATGTGAAAATGCTCAGCCAAAGAGCTGATCAGAGTGTAAATTAGACCCCTTTTCTGCAGCTGCTGCCTGTGGAGGCACAGTACTTTGCTATTTTAATACTGCTTTTTGCTATAAGATTACTTCTTTTGAATTCTTATGGACTTTCAGCTGTATAAATGCAAGATCAGGCAGCGTTTTGGAAGGAAAAAAAAAAGAGGATGGTATAGACTGTATTAAAAGAAGCAGAATCTAGGGAGCAAAGCAAGCTGTTAGTCACTTATAGGGTAGAATGCTGGATGGGCCAAACACTCAATAAAACAGAGTCAATAACATCCTAGTCCTGCTCTTATTCTTACTTTTTCCAGCAATGTCATTTTATGTCTGGGTGAACTTTCTGTAGACTTCTTCCTTTCTCACTGTTTTCATGGAAAGGTTTTAATCCTTCTAAATTGCATTTGCTTTGCTCCTTCCTAAAGCCTTCTGCTTTTCCTATAACTGTCTTCCTTCAGTAGCCTGCCCAGTAACTCCCATCAGATCTGCCTCCATAATTTTTGCGTGAGCACTTCACCAGTTTTCCTTTCCCTTAATTATCTCCAGTCCTTTTGTTCTCTTCTTCCTGAGGAATGGGAGTCTTGGGGACTTTCTTTCTCCCATGAAACCTCTGTACCTTCCCCTCAGCCCCTTCTATGCTTCTCTTACCCCCTTTCTGCAACTGAATTTTAATCCTTTAGTTTCAGTGCCTCTTCATTTCTCCATCTAAATGCTGGATATAGGGCACACCAACCACATTCATGATTTGTTCTTTCCTCTCCACACATTTGCCAAATGAAAATTATGTAGTCGATTTTGCAGTGACTCAAGGAAACTTTGCTTTTTTTGGTGACACTGCAGCTCGCTCAGGGATAGCAAAGCCCCTCCTAGTAAGTGGCAGCAAGGACATATATATGCATCCAGTGCTGATAGAAGGTCAGAGGGAGCAACTCCTTGCATTGCTCAGACAGTTCTTTAGTGCCACAGGGTGGTGTGTAGTGACCATTTCCAGAATACAAGCTTTTGTGTATATATGTGTTGCTGTTTAATGGCCATTATTGTTGAAAACATCAGTAGAAATTTAGATGTGAACAACAAAGTGAATATTCCGTGCACTTCCCCTTCCCATTGTTAACTGTCACAGTGCCCTTTTCCTTCTCTCCAGGGCAATCTCCTCACTGTAATGAGCTGAAGAACACGCTTGATTTTACCTTGACTTTATTTACTTTCCTGCTCTCTTCACAAATTTCTTTAAACTTCATTTTTCATCCCCTTTAGTATGACAGCAGGAGTGCCCAGCTCCATCACAGAAGAGGGTATTTGCTCTGTTGAGATGTGGTGACAGCAAATGAGGCTTGCATTTCTCTAACTGCCTCAGACAGAAGTTTGCTCTATGTCAACTTCTCCCAGGCCTGGGCACAGCAAAGGCAGATCCTGCTGGATCTGCAGCACCTCAGCCGTCACAGCTGCTGAGAGGCTCTCCTGTTTTCCAGAAAATCCCTGGGTATTCTTAGGTATGGCTAGGTGCCTTCGGTCTCCGCAGCCAGCCAGGACCAGTTAGGACATGGGAACAGTGTATCTGCCTTTCATTTACTTTCTCAGTCCCTGGAGGTGGAGAGAAGGCTTGCATCACATGATTATGTTCTCTTTCTGTCTGTCAAATGTCTTACCTGTATGTCTTCCTGTCCAAAGAGGCATATCTGGAAACATGTAATTGTTGCAAGACTGGGAAGGGACATCAAACCAGCTACCTCTTGTGCTTTGTTGCAGGATTTGAGGTCAGATTCCTGTCCACTTCAATTCATGGACCTTCTGGTTTTGCCCTCTCTGCTTTGAAGATCATGCACTCTATCTGCATCTAAATAATCTCTATTTTGCCCACCGTAGGCCCAAATTCTTTCCTCCCTCACCCCTGCTTTTATATCAGTCTCCATTTACATTGTGTCTAACATTTATGCCTCATTTGTATCGCAATAAAACAGAAGAGAATCAACCCTTACAGTTGTAAACAATAAATCCTCAGAGACACAACAGTATCCCTATCCACTTTGATTTTCTTTTCCTGTAAGTAAAAGATAATTTGAAAAGCCTAATTGAAATTGATCTTGATTTTCTCAAACATTGAATGCTGTCCTAAATCAAAATTATAGCAACTATTCTTTAAACAATCAGGAGATTGAAGAGAAAAAAAAAAAAAAAAAAAAAAAGAAAGTCAAAACAGCTAAGAAATATTATCAATATTGGTTTGCTGCCAGTATGTGAACTGCAGAGTGGTATATTCTTACTCAGATTGCTTGCAGAAATCCAAGAGATCTATTTTGCTGTTTCCAGAAGGACAATGTCACAAGAGCTAAACCTCAGTGTGGCAGTAGCAGTGGCAGCAGCCTAGGAGAGGACTCACTGAAGGCTAGATAGAAATAAGAGATGATCAACGAATCCTTCCAGGGTTGAAGAAAGGACTGATGAGAATTATGCAGGTTTTGCATTTGGACGTGAAGATGGAGGAGAAGCAGAAGGAAAAAATCCAACTGCCCCAATCCCAAAACTGAGTCAACTCTTAACAAAATTATAACAGTCACAAAGTAGCAAAATTTAGAATATGTTTCTTTTTCTAGTGTGAAATAAAAAAAAACAGTCTAAAAGACTGTATTTTTAGAAAGATACTGAGCAAAATTACCTAGGAGACATGTCTGTGGTTTTAATTATATATGAACATTAGTATACAGAAAACAATCTGTGAAATGTCTTCTTAAAATGAAAAAAATTAGTGCGGGAACAATTCTTCATATTATTTTAAGGAACATTGCTGTAATCTTAAATGCTTTTAGACCTGCTGCCCTAAGCTATCTGTCAATGAATGTTAGTTGGAATATTTAAAAAGTTGTTGTCATTCACTGAAATGTGTGCCAAAGTAGAGCTTGCCTTCCTGTAAATGATAACTTTTAATGCTGTTAATGAAGTCATGTTCTGCTAATGCATTCAATATTTTTCTTGGAGCAAGAACTGCTGCTTTCTGGATTTTAGTCTGTAGTTGTGGTGCCATCCTTTTTTATTTTCATAGCTGCTCCTAAGTTGTAGAGTAGCCATTAAACTCAATTGCAATGACAGTTTTGGAAAGATAGTAATACTGTATGCTGGAGATAATTCACAAAGCCTTTATTACTTGAGTGCTTAGAAGCAGAGAAGCCCTATAATGTCTAAATCCCACAAAAGCTGATTATTTTCCTCCCGAGCTTCAGACACAAATCAAGGAAATGCATCCGAATAGTAGGAAAGGAGCTGCAAAAACAGGATTGCTGAAAACATTGTCCTTGCCTAGGTATCTTTGTCCCTCATCCTATTTATAAGTTCTGAATTACTAGGGACCATTACTTAAAAAAAATAATCACATTGAGTCTGATGCATTGATGCAATTATTACTGAAGTAACTTATACGTTGCAGACTTAATTTCTTGTTATGTGTACATTAACTGTGAAGCAGTGAGAGAGTATAGAACATATATATTTTGGAGACAGTAACTGATGAGCAAACAGCAGAGCAAAACCAAAAACAAGACTTCCTTCAAAGAGGCTAGAGAAACCACAACTCTTTCAGAAGGAACTGGCTGGGGGTAGGGCGAGGTTCCTCATCCATTCACTGTAGACAAGCTCTTTCTGAACAGACTATTTAATGCTGGACAAATGTAGGATGAAGAGTTGATCCTTCTAGGACATAAATCTAGGATTCCACATATAGGATATCTTTTTAACCACAGTTGCTTCAGTCATCAAATCAGCTTTTCTTGTTGCATGAGATTCAAGGCAACATCAGCAAAACATTCACTTCTTTTTAATTACTGGGCTGCCTCTGCTATGTCTTCCATAACATGGAATTCAAACAAGGAATACAAATATTGGCCTGTGAGCTTTTCTGAGCCAAACTTTGAAGCTACAGAGGAACAATTCAGGAAGTAATCCATAGAAGCAATCAAAGATGAAAAACAAAAGCCCAAACCTTCATATATATATATATATATATATATATGTATATATATATATATATACATACGTACACACCAGCCTTGAAAGCCCCTATTGAGATGCAGTAGTATACACATGAAATTCTCTTAGATTAAGTTTTAATTTTGGTCATTGTGGCAGGGAAATAAAAACAAGGCAAATATGGAGAGTAAACTCTTTCTAACAAAGTTGGGGTATAAGAGCCAAGCTTCAGGCAGACGTGTGAGACACATGGCCACATTAATTTCTAGTTGACACCTACAATTTTTTAACACCTTGGTTTTCCTGAAACTGACAGGAAAGAAACTGTTAAGTTCACATCTCTGGCATGCTTCGTACACCTTGTGTAGACCTCCTGGTACTTGCATTTTCTGCAATGAGACATATATTGGCAGATTCAGTCTCATATATATATTAAAGTGTAAGAGGAAAGCTGTAGCATTTGTGAACTCACCAAAGTCTATAAAATACTTACAAATTGCTTGTAGCACTGTGTAATTCCTACAAAGCTTGGCAAGACAGAAAAAAATCCACCTACTTGCAAATTTTAAAGAAATGTGTATTTGCCCACATTTAGAAAGTTTGAAGCATACAATTTTAAAATTTTAAGTGCATACCATTCCTGAGAGTAGTTAAAGCTCTTCTTCTACTTGTAAAATAAAAAGCCTGCACCACTGAAAACTTGCAAAGAAACAGTTTCAGAGACAGTCACAAGACTGTAAAAACTCAGATTGATTCCATCTACATTTACTGGAAAATATAGGCTTAGGTAACAAAACAACAGGTCTTCCTTTAAAAGGTGGCTTCATGAAAAGGGAGAAGGTCTCCTCCTTGGTGGCTGGAAAGAAACTGCAGGCATGAACAAGTCACAGGACAAAGAGAGAGTCTCACCCATATGGAGTATATCCAGAGCTATGGGAAAGAGCTCTACATAACAGTCAAAGTTCACAAGCCCCTCTCTTTCCTATGCTACCCTGCATGTGTGTGTGAGAGAAGGGCCTCAGTTGAACAAAAATAAAAGAAAAATGAACAAGGGATTGTGTTTATGCAGGTACTCCATTAAAAATAGCTTAAACCAAACATCTTCTGGCTGAATATTTTAGCAATGACTGCAACCATTTATTCGATTCTCTGGAGACATGTATCTGTAATAGCTGTAGACAGCAAAGGAAAGCAGGATGGGTCACCAGAGGATCAAACATTTCAGAATTTCATTAATATTTGCTCATTCTAATATGAAACTCAAAGTTAGAAATTCTCATCATGCTACCATAAAGCTTTTATTTAGACTTATGCAACTGTGCTACTGAAAGTTAAGAAATCTGCCTCTGAAACCTTTTGATGTTGAGTGCTGTCATAAAGCACACACTTGATATTTACTATTATTTTCAGTGAAGTTACAAGCTCTCTTATTACATTAGGTCCATAAATAAAGAGAAATTGAGCATATGATGTGCACCAATGAAGTGAACTTCTGCAGATGAAGTAATAAGAAATACTTATCCAACAAATACCCTGTATTTGAAGTCCCTCAGGACCAACTTCAAGCAGTTAGACAAATGGAAATAAAAAAAGGAAAGCCTTTGTGATTATGTTATATTCTTCTCCCATGAGGAAGGGGCTGGCTGGGCCAGAGACTCTCTAAATTAAAACCTCTTACCTCTTGCAAAACAAATGAACAAATAATGAACAAATGAATAACAAGCAAACAACCTAGAAGAAAAAAAAAACAACAACATTCCCCCAAACTTAGAAGAGCTTACAGAAAATGAGGATCTCAACTCTTTTAAGCAAAGGAGTGATTGCATTGCCCAAGAAAGACCTGGAAAAATCTAAAGACTAGCTAAGGAATCACTGTTCTTAGTGACCCTAAGACCCTGTGCTGTTCTTAAAAAACCCAAATCTGTAACCCTAAGGTGAGAAAGAAAGGATGTTTGGAAATGTTAACACAGTAGAAAGAAAATTACACCCACCTGGAAGATTAGTAGAGGCTGTCCTCCTTTTTGTCAAGTGTGTATGAGACCTGGTTTCTGCAGGGTACTGTTGCAGCCATGCAGGAAAGGGAGCTGCACAGAGGGGAGTTGAGGGGTGGAAGATACTTATGGTAACAGGCAGTGGGAAGGTTTTAAGGATTTAAGATAAATCTGGGTGGAAAAACATCTCTTGGCACACCACTCAAACAGGAAACTCCCCCAGACTGAACCTCTACATCACAAAGTAAGCAAATTGATAAAGTTTCTGTCTCTTTGTCCATCCCATTTTAGTCTGTTTTGTTTTTTTTTAGGAGGGAGCATAGGACCCTGAAAGGCTTCCCAGTGCTATTAGCAAAAGCATTCCAGCTACCAGACACCAAACTGTCATGGGTGCACAACTCATGATAGTGCTGTCTTTGGGTCACGGTGTGAAGCCCTTGGAGTAGTCCAGCTCACTCAGGCAGTGGGAGAAGCCTTCACTGTGACCTTTCGTTCTCCTGCTTTCCTGCCAATAGCACCAGTGCTATACATAGCATTGATTCAATTGTATGAAAAAGTAAAACCAACTGCTTTCACAAAGGAATAGTTTCCTTGAAATCTTCAGATTATTGGAAACCATTTTCTGACAGAAAAACATAAATTTGGCTAAAACTGATCAGTCAGAAGATCAGGCTGCACTATCTAGAAACTGAAAACTGGTGTTAAAGAGCCAGACAGGCAAAGAGCCAGACAGATGGCACTGTAGTAGATTTAGATTCACTGGGCTTTGGGTCCTTTTATCTTCAGTTCTGGAGGCTTTCACGATGACTTGACTTACGGTTGCGTTCTGGATTGGCGCAGAGCAGCTCAGAGAACTAGCACCTTTAAATTTAAAACAAAATATATTTGCAATGTAATTTAGGCCAAGTTCCTCATCAATACTTTTTATACAGTCTGGCTAAAAAACAAAGGCTCTTTTTCATGCTGACTCTACTGTGTGACTACTCTCTCCTGTGCTAGAGCCCCTTTTGTTACCCTTTTATCTGTAGTATATTCACCATGTCTACTGAAGATTAACGACCTGTACTTTTCAGGGAAGATCTGAAGCTGGAGTAAAATTTAAAGCTATGCCATCAACTTCAGCGTAACTCAAGCATGTTGTGTCAGTAGGGACATTCGGCTCTGGCATTACTGAAGAATCAGAGCTCATAGCCCTGCAAAACATCATTTGATATGTGCACTGAGTAAACATCACACCATTTCTCAGCTGGCTGATTTGCTAACGTGGAAAATATATCAGTAAAATCAGTGGAAGTGAAGTGCAGACTGCTGGAGCCAGGTAGCTTCAATTGGATGACTTCAATTAGCTGAAGCAAAATTAAAGGCATCCAACCAAAGAGATATACTCACTGAACTCACATTCCACCCACCCACCCCCTCTAAACCTTCCACAGAAGATAGACAAGTCTGGTTTTTGTTGCTTCTAGGCTTCCAGTGCCTTTCATATTGCAATATCTAGCTCAATAGGTGAAAGCACAGATGAGTCTTTGTCCCTGCTGAGCATATAACACATCACCCTGTACTAACCTTGTTTAATTTCCACTTTGTTTCCCCTTTCTTTGCTTCATTTGTGTCATCTTGATTTCCACCTTATGATCCTGTTCATTTGTAGAAGACCACCTTATGGTTTTGATAGATTTTTCTGATGTGGAAGAATCTTTCAACAGCAATTGCACCTCTCCGTGGGGAGATTTTTCTGATGTATCATTGACTGCTGGTACAGAGAGAGATGTCATCTTTCTGAGAATTCAGAGTGACAGCAAACACATATATGAACTAAATTATTAATGTCTGATCAGACTCTTTCTGGTAGAGCTAGGCACTGCAAAAGAAGCTTAACTTGTAACAAACACAATGACCATGAATTGATATGAAAAAAAGGCAACATGGTCTTTTGAAGAATTTCAAAGCCTTCATGGTCAGGTACGTGCCAGAGAATCCATACTGATGGTTAAATAATTACCATTATTATCCTCATGAGAAATACTCCAGGTAAGTAAAATTCTGACTCAAATATTAGTAAATAATAGTAACAATGCTAGATGAGTATTACAAAACATCACAGTTTTCAGAGTAATGAGATTTTCATCAAGCACCACCCATAAAACAGTATTAGAAACAGATTTAAAGTGCATTTTTGCTAACAAAGGTCACCATGTTCCTGCCTAACTGCTAGTGGAGAAATGATATTACAACCTGTGTCCATTTCAAGCTTAATACTTCAGCTGATGACATCAAAGTGAGCTCCACAGTAGGAACAAAGCCAGAGTATGCATTAGAGATTGTCACCTTTGATTTAAGATTCTTTTGAGAAGTCAGAAAGAAATATTTTGCTTTCTAGCTGAATCTTTTACCATTTGCATAGGCTGAAATTTAATACAGGCTATTTCAAACTCAAGCTAGCCTGATGAAATATAAAACACGAATTGGCTTAAGACTTTGGAATAACTCAAACTTATTGCAGAAATACCAATGCATTCAGCTGTACTAATCACCTTCAGCGCTTTTTGCTGAACACTTAGATTAAAACTGCTTCTTGTACAAATGAAATTCGTCTTTCAAACTGTACGAGGTTTTGTTTGAAATTACCTTAAAGTGCGGGTTACAATTCTTCTGCAGCTTTTTAGTACATTGGCTCCCTCTGCTGTTCATTGGGTGCAAGAAACTGATCAAATACTGCCAGTTAAAGAAGTTTCTCCACACTTCCATGATTGCTTTTTGGAAGCATGTTTCTGAGGCTCACAAGAAAAGACAGTTTCTTGGGTACCCAGTTGAAACCAAACTGTTTTCAGTGAATTAAGACAAATTTTGAAACAATGCAAAAGGATTTTTCAAGTCTTTAACTGGAAACTTTAGCCCACTACAGAGTTAAGAGATGTGTGAATTAAAGACTACATTTGAATAGTAAAGTACAAGAAGGTGCCTGCAGTTCAGACAGCACAAAAGAAGTATACATTTTAATAGTAACATAAAATGAAGAAGAGAAAGACCAGATGGGTAAGCCAACCAGTGACAATTTGTACATGAGAATTACAATCATTCATTATGGCAAAGATTTGTGGAATTGAAAATGTGGTACCTTTCCTATAAAAATACCACTGGAAGGACTCCAGACCTAACATCTAATATTCAACTCAGGAAGTGATTGTTCCTCTGTACCCAGCACTGGTGAGGGCACACCTTGAGTACTGTGTCCAGTTCTGGGCCCCTCACTACAAGAAAGACATTAAGGTGCTGAAGCAAGTCCAGAGAAGGGCAGTGAAGCTGGAGACGGATCTAAAGAGTAAGTTCTATGAGGAAAAGCTGAGGGAATTGGGGTTGTTTAGCATGGAGAAAAGGAAGCTCAGGGATGATCTTATAACTCTCTACAACTACCTGAATGGAGGTTGTAGCCAAGTGGGGGTCAGTCTCTTCTCTCTAGCGACAGGGAGAGAGGACACACCCTCAAGCTGTGCCAGGGGAGGTTTAGGCTGGACATCAAGAAGAATTTTTCCATGGATAGGGTTGTTCAGCATTGGAATGGAATGTCCAGGGACGTGGTGGAGTCACCATCCCTGAAGGCGTTCAAGAAACAACTGGACATTGTTTGCACTTAGGTTTAGTGACAAGGTGGTGCTTGGTCAAGGGTTGGAATCAATGCTACTGGAGGTCTTTTCCAACCCCAATGATTCTGTGATTCTGTGATTAATAGCAAATAAACTGACAGAATAACTGAAAATAAAATGACGGAGTCCTACAGGAAACATGGCAAGGTAAGGAGAAGTCTGATTTCCTTTCCCCTCTGTTCTCCAGATAACAAATCAGCAGTGGAAGAAATATGAGACATGTCTTCAGGGAAAGGCTGGTTAAAGTAAGCATAAGCACATTCCTGCAATTAAACCTAGGTAAGCAAGAATACCAGATTCTTGAGGGTACTGGTGACATGTAGGTGACACCAATGATATTTTTAAAATTCAGTGTATATGATGCATCTTTCCTATTTGTCTAGAAGCACTACACATCAGGGAACACTCACATCACCACACTACAACTCGTATCAACGAGAAAAAACAATCCTGAGGTATAGTGCAGGTAAAATCAACGTGCTTTATTTAGGTCTATTAAAAATTTAGAATTAAAGGAGATCAATAAAAGGCATTGTCCCAAGAACCAGAAGATATCTTAAAAAGAAATTGTCACCAAACTCTCACAAATGAATGGGACCATCAGCGGTGAATTCCTGCAGGTTATTGTAAGGGTGAGAATACTACTCAGTGTTTCCAATAACAGCTTTTGATTTGAGTGCTTATGACCAAAATCTGGCAGTGTGGTATGATGGGAACAGCAAGCACAGCCTTATATACATAACATAGGAAGGAAGGGGAAGATGCATCTGGAGAGTGGGTGATTCTGAAAGATGCAAGGCAGAGGCTCACATTGCATAAGCAAGCTGCATTGAACAGCTTTAATAAGATGTAAAACCAGCAGAGTAATAACTTCTGATCTCTACTGCCAGGTTTATTTTTATCCAACACTGTTTAAAACTAAATGCATAAATAACCTGGAAAGAACTCACCTCGCCTGCCTCAAGGTATGTGTTTTGAACACTTTGCTATAGTTAGTTCCTCATTTGCTAATTTTCTTTCTAGCTCTCCTTTTGCATAATGACAGCTCCAACAGAGGCACAGAGTATCTTCTTTCCAGCACACACATTCAGTTTGGTGGTTGATTCAGCCTTCTGGAAACTTGGGGATGTGAATCTGTATCGTGTCACAGAAGCAAACATCATCTCTTATCTCCTGTGATACCTCTAACCAGAATATTCAAAAGGTGACCGTATTTTCTGTATTTCAGACAAAAAGAACAATCCTGGAAAAAAACATGCAAGTACTTACCTGCAAGCTCTGAATCATGAGTAGATAGTGACAATTACTTGGAATTCTGACTCAGCCATTGCAGCACGGGAAGGGATAGGATTTCACATCCTTTCCCAGTGTAACATTTCCTACTGCTAGCTCTGGGCTGCTCACCTCCCAGAAGAACCTGGTTTTCAGGATGTCAGTTTGAAATGGTTCAACTCATCTTGTATGCAGTAAAACAGAGACTTCTGTTAGTTTTGGCCCTGAAAGTGTTTTTAGGATGTTTTGGATAAAGGCAAATGACAAGGCTTACTACAGAGGTAAATGTGTGCAATTCAATGGCCTTTGATATATGTAAGACTAGAATATCTAATTCTTATCTATTAGCTGGTTTTGTTCTTCTCCAAAAAAGAAGCATAATGTATCACATTTCTTTTGGATCACTGATACCGTATTTTACACTGAAAAAGGAAGTATTACATAATCCTTTACAAGACTTTATCTATCAAAATTAACAGATCTTTAACTGAAGCAATTATCTACAACTGGACAGGCAGCAACAAGTAGAACTTCACCAAGATAAGTTGTTTGTAGAGTGGTTACACTTGAATTGTTAAGACTCTAAACAAAATAGCTTCTGTATCACTAAATTTCCATGGGATGCATAACTAAGAGAATTTATAATTTTAGAAGTCATAGTGTGAAAAGGTGTACTTTTGGATTTTACCTTTTCCCCAGTCATTTTTGACAATCTTCGCTCCTTTGCATAAGTGCATATGAAAATATTACAAGATCAGTTTTAAAGGCACGCCCCACCAAAGCCATAAGCTAGCAGCCAAGAACCATTTCTATGAGATGTTGCAACATTTGGCAACAGTGCCTCGATTCCCTAATTTGGAACTGTAAAGGGACTACTGAAATGCCAAGTGTCTAGACTGATACCACTGTCAGAAAGAAAACCACTAAACGTGGTACTTCATAAAACAAAGGCAAACCCCACTCCTACTCTGTAATATAAACTAGAAATCAAAGAACTACAGCTTGATTACACAACTGACCTGGGCATCTATTTCCCACCTTGCAAAGAACCCACCCAGGCCCCTGCACTAAGACTTCTCTCTCAAGAAGTGGTGATCTAACCTTCTTGTGTTTCAGTATTCTTCGCTTATCATTTACTAGAAACACCATAGTACTGTGTTTATCCAGTGGCAAATGCCTGCTAATTACCTCTAACACAGCTTTAAAGCCCTTGCTGTCTAGGGCTGTATATATAAAAAGATGAGATTTTAAAGGTCTGAAGAGCCTTTGCCCTAAAATATAAACAAGAATGCATGCTCAGTCTAAAATTTAAAAGTTATATTTTTTCCCTCTTCAGTGGTACATAGAAGCAGCACTTTTCTTTTACCAAGGTTTCTGAGGTACAGACAGACAGAACATCCGAGTTCAACAGTGTCCCCTGCTTATGCTGGGCAAAGGATCACTCTGCTTCTTCCTCAAGTTTTTCTGAGGACAGGTAGCTTACTTTTTGTAAATTATTGCCTCTGCAGAATTAAATGGCACCTTACCAAAAAATACGCTTCTCTAATTGATCTGGAGAAGAAACAAGTTGTAGAGAAGAGGAACTTAGAGATGACAAAGTCTGTTTTGATCTCATAAAGGTGCTGACAGAACAGAGCGTCACAACTCTCTCCATGCAATCCACTATAACCATTTTAGAAGACTGTAGAGTTGGGTATCGTTACATTCTATATTTACAACTGCTCTATCAGGATTTTGGCAGAGACAAACTAAGTTCCGCACAGCCATAAAGGTGCTTATAAACATCACTTCTGAAAACTGGAACAGTAATAAATTACTGCAATTTGAAGCTCTGTCTTAACAAGTTTTTACTAAAACGAAGCTGCTATTGGTTAATGTTGTCTGTCTCCCTAACTGCAAGAAATGTGCTTGCAAGTTAGTTTGGAAAGAAAAAATAATCACAACACATACGGTAGCAACCCCTGAGATCACTGTTAGTAATCTTAGTTCTTTTCAAGCTTTATAGTGAATAACACCCTTTTGCAGCTTAGGCACTAAGCACACTCTTCTATTTGATATAACTCAACTCAGCCCATCCTACAGCACAGCTACAGCTTTTGAGCTACTCTATTTCCCTTCCTACTTGGGAATCACAGCAAAAGTGATGTTAAGAAGCACATTGATAAAAAAGCTTTGCTGCTTCTAGTTCAAAATACTTTAACTCTACCATGCTTTAAAGCACTTCTCCCACCAACTCAATTAGCATATACTTTCTTTTCACATGGAGCTTTTGTTTATCTGCTTTCCCAATGATGTAAATCTGGGCACCTACAATTTTTCACTGAATTTCAAACACACACAGGAAAAAACTTTAATTTTTTTTAATTTACAGTATTGATTGCTCCAAGTTATGCCTTACTGTTGGTACACAGTAAATACATTCTTCTGAACAACTCACCTAGTACGAAAAAAAAAGTTAAAACATTAAAAACACTGCTTTACAATGTGCGTAACAGAACCTTCAGAAGTAATGACAGGCTACAGCCAGGCACAGAGGAAGACTGTTGGTTTTTTGTTTTGTTTTTTTAGTCTACCAGCACATTCACTCCTGAACCCCTTCATCTGAAACTGTAACATAAGATTTTAAGTGAACCCTTCTGCTGAATTAAGAAGATTAAATAACTCTCAGATTGGTTTTTAGCACTTGTATTTCCAGATGAGGATGTTTCTCTGTTCTATTCATTACCCTAAGAATGGCTGTTTTCAGATGTGCTGAACAAAGGGCTTCAATGACACTTCAAAACTGAAGATGTTTCTGAAGGGGAGTTATGCTCTGTGGTACATGCACTGTTGAAGTCTGGATGAATCTGGTAACATGCTTCCCCCAGATAAAAGACAAGTGGCTGGGCACAACTGCCATTTCACAAATACTTAAATCAGACAAAATGCATTATTAATGCAAGCTTTAGACAGATTGATATATACTGCAACACCTAGCACTGATTAAATTTAGAAAAATATTATGTTAGGGTTGAGTGTTTTTAAGTCTTTGTTGTTTTGCTGGTGGGTTGTTTTTTTAAGTCTTTAAAGTAATGTATGGTGGAAGATGCCAAAAACCACCCTGCTTTTTAATCTGAAAGAGTTGGGTTGTCAAAGCTAGTATGCTGCTGACAATTACTCATTTGATTATTTATATATATTTTTTTAAACAATGAAGAGGCAGGAAATGCTTTTTTTTTTTTTTTTCTTTTTAATCTTTATGATCATGAACCCAATTACATAGTTTCTGTTAAGTTAATGGCTGCCAAACAAGCATGTGCTCCAGTGACCCACCATGAGCAAGGTTATCTGATGGGTCAGACAGATTTTAAGGTTAGACACAGTACAT